AAGTAATTAAATTGTACAGTAATTACCTAATTTATCTTTTTTTATTTGAATTATATATATATTGAATTGTTTTTACCTTTTATTAATTTAACTTTTCTATTTAAATTGTAAATTGAATTATGTTTCTTAACCTTTTATACATATTGAATTTCCAACCTTTTATATATTGTAGTGTATAAACAAGGGTTTTCTGATGTATTTTTTTTATATATTGGACCAATATTGATTGAATTAATAATATGAATTAATAATATGAATTTGAAAGTATGAACATTTGGGGCCATTCTTGTATTGAGGTTTTCAAATAAATAAGTAATTCTAAGCGTATTATGTAGCAAGATACTCTATACTATACATGTGACATTTCCTATATGATATAAAATATATAGGCCTATGTGTGATATGTGTATTTTATATAATACATGATTTATTTTATAGGCCTATATTTTGAACAGTACAACATGAACTCTAGATCAGATCCATTTCACTGACCCATATAATATGTGCATTTTTAGCCTGTTCGCATTCTACATTTAAATATGTATTTTATTATTTGAGCTCAGTTTGTAATAAAAATTTGTATTCATTTGTTTTATTGCAATGACATTTTGAATAAATATACCTAGAATAAATAAATAAATGATAGGTTCATCTGCTGTCATCTTCGCACAAAATAATCTTTCTTACAATTACTATAATCTGTCCAGAATATGTCTGTACCCTTTATCAAAAAATAAAATTATTCTGTCATCTCCTTAAGCAAACCATTTTTATTTTACATATATAATTTTTTGTTCAAGTAACCAAAAAATGAGAAAAAATATATAAGAATCATAATTATGTAGTGCTACAATTTAACACCTTATTCATATGTATACGCTATTAACACTTGCATATTTAATACATGAGCACATTCAAACTAGAGATTGCAGAATGATGGGAAATACAGTAGAACCCCTCCCTCCTCCTGGACACAACTATTACTTGGACATCCCTATTAAGGGGACAGCTCCTATTAAGGGGATATTTTTGGCCACAAAACTAGGAAAAGTATGTCTTTTATCACTACGGCCAATATCTATTCAGGGGATTCAGGGGACACCCCTTTTGGTCCCGAAATTGTTCCCTTAAAGCGTTCTTCTGTATTTAACATTTGATACCCAATGATCTAGTGTGATTCCTTGAGTATTATAACACAATAAGTAGGCCTAATATTAGATGGTTAGTAACTCACAATGAGGCAGTCAGGCCAATTGTACAATACAACAGCCAGCAGACATTATATCTTGAGGATCATTCAGCGAGTTATCACAAATTCACTGTTGTTATTACATATATCCCAGGGTTTACTTAATTGTATTAACAGTTTGATATTTACTATAGGGTCTCAGAACCTTTATTGATTTTCATCTCAAGGATACTTGTGAAACTCTTGTAAATAATTCACGTTAACATGGCCACCTGTTGATAGTCCCTCCCCCAGGGTGGTCCATGTCCCCGGGAAATTTATCCAAAAGTAAAGAAACATAAGGTGATATTGTCTTAATTAAGTAATGCCGGACCAACATGTTATTTTACCAAACCACAATTGAGGTGAAGGTAGTATGTTGGACCAGAAGTATAGAACTGCATTATGTCCATTAATAACCACTCATTCAATCATGCATTCAATTACTCTTTCATTTATTCATTCATTTAATGTATTCATATGCTCATTCGTTATACTTTTATTTTCATCATCTCTTTACCACTGTCTTGGGTAATATAATATTTTACTGAATACGTAATTCCGATCATTCAACTACAAACCAAATTTGATTACATCCAGGAATTTCATCAGTATGATTTTTATTATGAAAAAAATTGTTGATATTGCAAGTTAGAATTGGCTGATTTAAATTTATTGTGGCATAAATTGAAATATGCAGCGTTTATTTCAGCAAGTGAAATTCATATTCTTTAAATATTTTACATTACTCTTACGTGATAGGCTTAGAAT